TGTCCGTAAAAATCGAGCAAAATTTGAATTCTGCGGCAATACACGAAAAATAGATTTCTTTAATATTTTGCTTAAATTTAGGTAATACCTAGTTATAAATGGTGTTTGGGTTAGATTTTCAATATTTGGTCGATAAACGTACAAATATCAGAAATCAAGAATTTGTCTCCGGAAGGCTATAATTAGCCGCAGACAACGCCGCCGCCATGGTCAATTTCATCACTTCGCGACGGATTCAAAACTGCCCGTAGATAGTTTTGATGGTTTAATGACTATAATTCAAGTATTAAAGAACACTGTTATCAATATAGAATGGTCCAGGAGACTTTAACTGGCCTGACAGACGTCGTTGAAATTGACTATTTTTAGTCAAATTTTAGAATTGCATTTAGTGGCTGGATTTGAAGGGGAAATTTACTATGTGCGATAATAGTGAATTTGTTTATATTTCATCCACGGAATGGTATAGCATGAGTACATGTTATATATAAAAACTAGCTTGGGTTATTGCCTTGGAGCCTCACACGAGACTTTTAAAAAAGCTCATTTTGGTGATTTCCAGTGGAATGTAACACAATTAAATCATTAGGTCTATACGTCTATACAAAGTCACGAAGCTCAAATTGTTCAAAACTTTGAATTTTTGTGTTTCGATATCCAATGTATATGCTTTGTATACTTTATAAAGAAGCGTTTAGAAGGATTTTCAAGATATTTTAGTGATAGGCATATATATATATATATATATATATATATATATATATATATATATATATATATATATATATATATATATATATATATATATATATATATATATATATATATATATATATATATATATTCTTGTTGTCCGTAATTGAACGAAGAGTGCTCAATACCAATATACGATAGAGCTTAAATAATTCTTTAATATATATACATCGGGTGTCTCAAAAAAAAGTATCGGTGTTTGATTTATCATAATGTAAAAATAGGTACGCAGTGCGTACATGTTGCATGCCATCAAAACAATGAAACCTCATGACTCATAATACTATACGGAAATCCATCTCCATTGCTTCCTGTGTAAGTACTATTTGTCATGATTTGTCACTCGGCAAGTACCATAACCGGAAGCAGTCACCTCCCTGGCACTGAACAAAGACACGCAGAAGGTCGATTTAGAGTAACCGCTGTCACGTCCCAGCCAGTGCGTGCCGAAGAGGCATTCCCCTTGAACGTCTGTCATTTTGAATATTATCAGGGGGTGAATGCCTCCCAAAAGCGCATCAGCCAGGATCATGGCGTCAGCATTTTGATAAATTACGATCATGCCAAAATCATTGAAAAATCATAGGAAAAACCAAGAAATTGGGCTTCTGTATGACCCTCCCTGTTCCCTGGTTATGGTGCGCTACTGCTTATAACTTTTGGTACAACTGGCCTAAAACTTAAAATATTTTTTCAATAAGTTAAATATCAATATATTTATTGAAAAATAGCTAATATGTCAAAATAAGAAAACTTAAAATTCTCACGCGAATAGGCAATGTTTTTATGAGCGACTGTTCATCGTTAGTTGCAAACGACGGTAATATAAACAATTAAATCAAACATGGTCAAGGTCGAAAGCGTTTAAAACTCTTTGTCGACAAGTGGTTTCGCATTACATTACGATTCAATTTTTCTAATGTAAATATCGCGGCGAGTATTTACCCCCCTTTAAAACAAAACCCACCAATGTAATCCTCATAAAATAACCTTTCGAACGGGGGGTCAAGTGCTGTCAGAACATTACACAAACCGAAACAATCATATATTTATACTCACCGCTTCGCCAAACATTCAAAAGAGAAAAAGTTGAATATTTTCTAAACTTTTCTTTACGAAAGTTGAATATTTTCTAAACTCTGCTTTAGCCGGGATGACGTCAAACTCACGCGCATGGGTGCACTTTGACCTGTAGAACATTTCTCGCATTTCCATTTTCCAGAGTCACGTGATACAAGCGTAGAATGCATTGTTTTGACGAGTTTTCGTCGTATTTCCGGTTGGGATTATCGCAAATTCGGAGCAGAAATGTAAAATTCGGCACTAAAAGTCACACTTTAAAGATAGAGGGTTGAAAATAGCACTACACATGGTATTTTAAACGCTTAATTCATCAAGAATATCACATTGAGCATTTGTCTCAAGGTGCCAAGTTATGTTCGGCGAAAGGTATGTTTATGTATTTATAATTTGTTGGTAAAATGCGCAATTTGATCGTATACGATCTCGCTTTACTTTCAAAGCTCATAAATCGCTATAATGTTGCCAATGACTTAAACTATTGCTACGAGTGAGGAGATCTAGTTACACTGAGTCGAATGGTAGTATTTTTGTCCTCGTAGCATTCAATAAACCGAAGATATTAAATGTTGCATTGTTTCAAAGCAATGCGATAATGGGGTCGTGTGCATAAGGAGTTAACTGTTAGATTTCCTTTTATACTATTTTATAACTAAATAATAGTGTTATTTCCTACAAATTTAGCTTTATTGTAGCTTTATTGAAAGTATAAAAAACGTGGAAACGGTGAAGTACTGTAGATTGAAAATAAGTATTAAACTATGATTGAAATTATCGACGTACGTAGAATGCTATATTTCGTTGTATTAAATTTCAATAGTATTAATGAGAATTTTGTTTGATATTTTTATAAATATATTTCATGTTATTTAGTATATTTCATGTTATTTAAGTTTTGCACACAATTAATATAATCAGTGTGAGTACAATGACGAGTACAAAAAGTGAGTATTTTGATAGCGTATAGCCTTCACAGAATATATAAACTGAATATAAGGTAAATTAAAATCAGCAAAGCTTTACCTTGATATAAGGCGCTCAAATATGTAAATTTTCCGCGAACAATCAAGCATTTTTCTTTGCCTTTCCTCGACGAAAGCTGTTGGACGAAAAGTTAACGTGCATGGGCCATGAGTGATGAAAATGCTCGTCCGAAAAACCCGGTAATTATAAATATTGTTGTAATTTACGAATTTGTCACGTGACCGGTACGCTCACCACCGCTCACCGCTCACCGCTCATCACCGCTCACGACGACACGAAATTTAGAGCTATATGAAAGTTGCATGTCATATATGGCATGCAACAAAAACCCTAGGGAGCCACCTTAAATTCGCCGTTAAGTTGCAAATAATTCTGTTTGAGAACGCAATAATCGGGCACATCGCAACCAGGGCAGTTTCAGGGCAGTTTTGGCCTTGTTGTTGGGAAATCAACTAGGCCTTCTAGGCTTGCTTCCTCCGCCCCGCCCCCAAATCACCTAGTCCCAGTCTTTTCATGTGAAAAACCGCTGAATACTAAAAAATATAAATAAGACTAGAAGGCCTAGGTCTAGGCTGCCTTCGCTTCACTTCCTTTAGAATCATAACACGTTTTTGACCTATTCGAAAGTGACCTTGCATACGCCGTTTTTTGAATGCGGATAATTTCAAAACTAAGCGATGAAACGCAAATCCCAGCGGCAAATTTTTCGACATTTTTTATATTTTCTAGGATTTCATTGAAATCAGTCCAAAAAATTAAAAACCCAGGCCCCCCAAGGCTTTATTTACAACCGTAATTTTCGTGTTGAAAACGCGTCTAAACCGGAAGTAGTAACAATGTACGCGTTCTGATTGGCTTAGCGCCAAAAGGTAAACAAATGCTCTGATTGGTCAAAAACGAAATTCACCCCTGTTAACGTTGGACACATCAAAACAGGAAGTATGTATTTTTATAATTTATGCATGAAGAAAAGCATAATACTTTTGCTTGGATTGCTTCATGACAGTATTTGTGTGTACAGACTGGACATAGTCGACATAGAGGACAAAAGTTCGCAAACAGTTACACAATATAATTAGTGCTCTATTGACCTGAGGCAAATCATGAACTTGATATATTTAACTCATATTTACATAATATAATTAGCACTAACGAATCAAAGACAGCTCAAACTTTTTTGGGGTCCTCTATTCCCTTCCATCCACCCGCATTTGAGGAAGGGCAAATATAGCCTGATACTCCTATCAAAACGATCACTGAAATATCTTGAGATTACAAATGTAAATTATATGCAATGTTAACATCTATATATGACTGTAGAATTGTATGTTTTCGGTGCAACGTGCAAATGATGCATTAATGTGCAGTTACCACAGATTATGCATTTCGTTTACAACATATATACCATAATACCAACAAAAAATTATGTTTCTGAAAAGACATTTCCTGCATTGTGTAGACACTTGGATAAAAATGTATACATCGATATCGTCACAAATAATTTTTAACCGTATGAACTCAATGTATTCAAATAATTGTTTATAAGCACGGCATGGTCCTGCCCGTCAATTGCAAGAGGAGAGCACTGGTGCTCAGACTGGGTTTTAAAACAAATGAATGACCATGTAACTTGACATTTTAATACAATATAAATGGGTGTCATTTGTGTATATTGAGGTATTAGTGATGTTATTCCCTGATTCAAGATGACGTCATAACTTTTTCATCTCATTGTCTGCAGTTCTTTGCCACAAGTGGTCCTCGATCTATACCAAAAATTTCACGATGTTTGGTGGGCATGAAGATTTCAATTCTGGGGCCCATTCCTGCCAAATATGATGATAAAAATTGATAACACAGACTTAGATCAGAGAATATCTTTGTCATTATGAAACTAAATCAGGACAAAAAATATTGTGTGAGAGATAAATACACCCATGATGTTTCTTTTAACGCAAGCAAAGAAATAAAACTTGCCTCATTGTTCATGCATATAAAAGAATTTATACATAAAAGAAACTAGTCACTACAATTTTAGAACCTCTTTCATTTAACAGTTTC